AGAATAAACATATTACCTCAACATAAACCACAAATTCTTCAGTCAATACGTCTTCAATACTTTTTCAATTGCATTATATCTTTCTACGAACTAATCCTTTGTACCCTTATTAAAAATATTTATTTTATATATTACTATCACTAAACTAACTACTTCTATGAATTCGGTGTGACAACTTGAACTGATGTCTGTATGTGCCTAGTTGTACGTTGTAGCTGACTGACTGATACATATTCTACCTAGTTTTTCTCGAAAAATGTAAGATAATTAGAGAAAAAGCATAAGAGTATACACTACTACTGATAATCATTTACTGCACAGCATAGTAGTATACGAAATTGTGTATGGATTGTCAATCATTATTTATTATTATTTATGTCTTCTATCCCTCTTGGGATATAAGCCTCAAACTGGAGACTTCCAACCAACCCTGTCTTGGGATTTACTTTCCACTTGTTATCAAGTACTACTCATTCTTTGATATATGACTACAATTCCTTACATTATATGTTTATTCGTCTGCTGCTTTTCCTTTTGCTTTGAGAATTTCGAATTAGGGTTTGTTACGTAAAGAAATGTAATGATTTATGTATTAAACATCTTATCCACCTCCAGTCTTTTCCAAATCTTCTCCTCTTTGAAAGCTGGCACGCGAGGTCCAGCGATATTCAATTTTACAAACTGACATATAAAGAGCTACTCGACGAATAAGTTGTAGACATAAATCTCGGACCATTTGAATTATCAACTATGAACTTCATTGTAGTCACTAATCGAGATCACTTATCATGCATCTGCGGCACCCTGTTAAAGATTAAAATTGGAAATTACAAAGCCCTATGGCAATCATGTTGTAATTTATGCTAATCTCAAGGCAGACTGGATCTTAACACATTCCAAGTGTTTACTTTATTATCCTGTATTTTCAGTGCTGAAAGACCAAGTTGTAGAGTGGCCACTATTTTACGTATCTATGAATCATAATGGTCTCAAATAAACAATGATTAGTAACTGAAACTAACTAAGAACAATATTTTCAAACCTCATGTATAAAGATGGACCAAACTCTCTAGAAAAACTGATTCTCAAGAACATGAAAAATGTTTTCACAACTGTTCACAATGTAGAATCATCAATGAAACTGTAGCAGAATCCAAGTGCTTTCCTTGTTATCTCAACTGTTAGGAGACGGGATTAGGAATTGGTAAGGTAAGTATTGAGGAATTCCGTTGTTTTGTATTACTATATCCGACTTCCATTTCATAGAGCTAATGTAATACATGAAAAAGATGATGCTTCAAAATTGTATACAACATTTAATTAAACATTCTTATCATATAACGTAACTTGTAATAACAAAAAATAAACAGTTTATTTCTTTTAAGATTTTTGTAGGAATTTAGATGTATGTCATCGTGATTAACAACTGCCGAACTCTACCATTTAAGTGGACGCTCCCTTCACTTGAGCCTACATGAACATCAATTAGCAGTCAAACGGCATGATATCTCACTTATATCAATACACGTGGACAACTGCGGACACACATTCGATTGGGAAAATGTGGAAATCGTGGACAGAGGAAATTCTAAAAACACAAGAGAATTTTTAGAAGCCTAACACTCAGCAATCAACAAATATATTGAAATCGATCCGATTTATCAACCAATCAGGAAACTTATGCACAAATATAGGAACAAGAATCAAACCAATAGGAGACAAAAAAGTAAACAATGACAAATTTAAGATCAATAAGAACCGATGTCGTTCAGAAGAACGATGAAAGCTCCACGACCAAACCATCCAGATCAGAGAACAAAACTTCATCAAAATCATCCACCTGAGCTACAAATCTTCTCCACCATCTCAGTAGAGATTTCTGAAAACCCCTACAGTGATGAATTAGTTATTGCTCGAATAGATTAGTGATAACATTTCAGACTAATGACGCTCAAAGTTGAATTCGAATTAATTGAGGAATATCAATCCCTTTAATATTGTAGATAAACTTTACTGATGAAGGCTAACTAGGATAAAACTTAGATTTACAAGGTTCTCTATCAACTGCTTTCAAGAGCTAATGTCCAAATATAGTTCACGAGAAGTTATATCATTTGTATTAATAATCATATTGTAATATGATCGATAGAATTCGACTTAACAGACACACTGATCACTTAATTGCAGGTACTGTATATATTTGAAATGTAGCCTATTTATAAAGTACATGTTTATACATACAACTTTGAGGAACATTTTTAGGTCTACGGATCAAGTAATATTGCTAACGGGTTAACTAAGTTATGTAGAGTTAGAAACTGAAAAGCTGAACACTTGAAATCAAAACTTTTTTGTTCACAACTATCCCGTTAGTTTGTTTAAATACTACTGATAATTGTCCTTTCCTTTCTCCCGACTATAGCTTCTACCCTGACGTAGTGGTCAGGTTTGTTTATCGTGATGACCCAAACGATCTATATTGGCTGAAACATATGTACCTATAGGTTCTACCATACCAGGCAGGTCTATTGGAGAACGGTAAGACTAAAAGCAGCAACTCAATGTCTGAAGGCGAAGTCGTACTGCTGAATGTACAGGGGTGTGACAACAGTAAGGTAATTCCCTTGAACAACCAACAACTGCAGTGATGCTGCCTTCTCATAAGGTAGAGAGGGGGGTTAGAAAAGGTCAACCCTTAAAATGTCACATCTCACAGAGTTTTGTCTCCGGCGGTAAGACCCTTTGGAGAATGGATCTAACAAGTTAAAAATACCCTCAAACAGTTATCCCTTTGGCTCTGTGGTCACGTTCCTCAAGTCGTTAAGATCAACACTAATTCGTTTCAGATCCCTCAAGAAATATCCTTCCACGATGTGAGTAACCAGGAATCGACATCAGCTCTCATACTCATAACAACACACGAGATTAAGTTGTTCACAATCGAATTCCTTCCTTAGTTAAAATAATTCACAAACAAATAGTTCATAACAATCAAATCAATAAATTGAGAACAAAACTATTTTCATTGTTTCAATTTTCTTTGAATAGAAAAAAAAAGAGAATTATATATCGTGCACAAAGTGTCGTCTACACATTAAAAAGAGTAAATTTTTTTTAAAAAAAAACTGAAGGGTAAAATAGAAAAAAAAAAGAATGGGGGATAAATATAGGAATATAAGAGAGTAAAGACAAAAAAAACGTACACACACACGCACACACAGATACATACACACACACACAAAAGTACACAAGAGAACAATGTCATTAACCACACTGAGATAATAATGATGATATTGAAACCAAAAATGAAGAAAATGATCCAACTACATTTTTGATAATACATAGAATTATCTATTTTCTTTTCCAAGCCGTTTATCTTTCTTTTTTGAATATTTTATTTCATTTCACTTAGTGACAACCTTTATTTCTTCTTTTCTCAAGGCACAAATAAATTTACATAAGTGTGTTTGGAGTTTTTTCCCTCTCTCTCTCTCTCTTCCAAAGTAGTAGTAGTAGTACGTTCGTATAAATATGTGAAAGACAACACCGGGAGGTCTCCTACTTTCATGTAATGCAACATAACACACATACAAGAATGATGAAAACACCTATAGTATAATCACAAATTAAATAGGATGAAAGGGGTGAAGCAATCATAGACATTTCTCTTATTAACACACGATTTTCTTGTTGTTGACAATTAATAGTGAGCAACGAAGAGTAATAACAAGAAAATGTAGTTACCTACTAAGTTATACTAGTTACGAGAGAACAGGGGTGTTGTCTTTGTTGTTAGCTGCACATGTGAGTGAAGAAAATATTGGTTGGTCTACAATTAAATGTGATTTGAGCTTCATTTGATTTTTTTTCTTATATTCCTATGGAAAGAAAGGAACTGAAAAAAAAAGAAATAAGAAACGAATAGAACTAAGGGTATAGATAACATAAAGCGAAGGATTGAAGTTCAACAGAGGTAATTTAAGAAAACAAAAGTGAAGTTTAAAAATGAAATGAGTTACAATAAAGAGGGATTAGTTGTTTACACACAGGAAAGAACAGTTTAGAATCATGGATATAGTGTAGGGGGGAAGGTAGTAAAGAGTAAATCATGTTTAATGTGTAACCATTTTCTTCTATTCGAACACATGTCTTGGTCGTCTATTTAATAACACAATCATAATTATCATCTCCTACACATCATGATTTTTTTCGAGTTCAGAGAAAGAGAGAAAAGAAGTGAATCATAACATAAGAGAACTATTACGAGCCGAAAATTGAGCGGAATAATAAGGATGAAATAAAACATACATAAAAATATATGTAACAAATAGTAGGTTATGGAGAAACGAAGTGATGAGTAAGTAAACCAGTATACATGATACTGTAAGAGAGATAGAGAGATAGGACAAAGAGAGTAAAGTAAGATTACATAATAAGAAATTCTCATGATTATTATCCAACTACTTATTAATGAACACTTTATCCAATCACAAAAACATGCGCATTTCATACACATACAATTCTAGAAAGTTAATAATTTTCAGAATGAAGAGAATAAAACTAAGGATTAAAGAAGAAACAAAACACAAATAGAGCTAAGGGGGGAAAGGGTTCGATAAGATTTACAAAAAGAAAAACAAATGTCAAAGAAGAAGATAGGGATTATATTAAATCAAGATGATGATGATGATGAAAGGGGTGGTAGAACATTAAAAAATAAGATGAATTACAAAGTGTTGGAACTTCATTGTCGAGAGAAGAACAAAGAAAAAAGACTAGCGAATCAAAATGATAACAAAAATTACTAATGATTGTGTGTGTATATATATGTGTGTGTTTGTTTATTCACAGAAGGTTTGTTTAATTTTTATTTATTCACAATCATGATTATAAGATGAGAGAGTGTGAGAGTGAGCAAAGATGAAAATTAACAAAAAAAAACAAACAAATAATTAGGAAAAAGATATTGGAGGGAGGGGGGGGGAACTGTCTAATCAAATCTAGCTATCACCACCAACAACTAAATCTTCTTTGTTCCGCCGCTAGATAAATTTAGATAGGGAGAGAAAAAAACAATGAACATAAATATATATACACACACAGAGTATTGATTGCTAGAAGTAGAAATCAACATTTTAAATCATCACTTGTAAATGTACGTAAAAAGTGATATATTTCCTAAATATTAATTTATCAGTCACAGACCGTGAACACTGTCGTCTCCTGATAATCTGTAACTCATTGCTTCGGTTTAGGCACCCACACACAAATCGAGTGACTTGTGTGGTGCATATGTATTCGGTACCACTTTATACCAATATTTATGTGTTCAAATAAAATAAAATAAAAAAATAAATTCGTATGTATTATCCGAGGGAAATCCGTTCTGATCGTGTAATAATTCTCTTAGTAATATATTTATTTGTTTGAACACATAAACATTGGTACAAGGGGGCACCAAATACATATGCACGGCACAATGAGGCCATTAGTCGTTATCATTAATTCATGTGAGTGCTGTGATACTGTCCAGGTGTCTAAACCAAAGTGAATCAACTTTATTAACCTTAAACAACGAGATATGAATATGAAAATCTGAATTTCGGTCTCCACACATGATTTAATAACTCGATTATAAATGAGGGATGATGAAGCAGTGTAACATGTCATATTTAATTCAACCTCAATTACAGATGAATATGATAGATTGAGAATTAAACGTAATAATTATAATTTAATTAAAATATCCTGATACGACCGAGAGTGTTGAGAGTCCTTTTTCCCTCTCTAAATGCTCTCATATTGATTACGCATATATAGCCACTGACAGGCAAGCGCTGCTCACTGCCTTCTCGTGGTGGTGTTGTTGTTTTTCAAAATGAGGATAAAAAGCGAATGTCCGGCGCTTAAACCATGTTGATGAATACAGAGTATCCACCGAAGGAGTTGGAAGACTCTGATTTCTAACGATTGGTGTATATGATCTGCAGGATCCCGAGAGAACAAATAACGTATAAACATGTAATTGGACACAGACCACCATGGGACTGCATCTTTTAACGTTGCTCCACTACTTACTAAATTAGACCTCTAGGTTGAAAGCTTTGGTGCCCCCTTTGTGCCAATGTTCATGTGTTTAAATAAATAAACAAAATAATTCATTGTAGAATGAATGTGTGACTCACATAATCGATATCCTTCTTCAATCACTTCATTTCTATTATCTAATCATATTATTTTGTCGTATGAAATAAAAAACAATCCTCAAGGTAACTAACTGTTTATTCTTTTGATATCGTAACAAGTTTACTATCATTCATATTGTACTATCTATCTATAACTAATAGTTTCTTTCATTTAAACAGTAGAAAATTCGTTGAAATAATTTATTCTGAAATCTATGATTCAATGTTTGAAAGTTGAACATTTTAACTATTGAGTGCATTGATATACTATGATTTATCATGAATTATAAATGGATTATATAAAGTGTAATTGCATAGAATTTAATCTAATTGATATATTCTTGAATATGAGTCAATGGAAATGAACGAAACAAAAGTTAGTCAATCAGCTACAACGTAGAATCAGACACATATATGCATCGATTCAAGTTGCCATATCGCATTAGCACAACAAGGTGAACATCGAATTCATTGAAGTAGTTATTTCAATGATAGTAAACCATAAAAGAAAGATTGTGTACAAGGATATAGTACAGGAATAAAGAATTAGTTCGTACAAAGAAAGAGATGAAGCGATTGTAATCTCATAGTTTAAGAGAAGATAGAGAGTGCATACACCGACGCCATTGTGATCGATTTTGAGCCACGTTACCTAGAGTCTCCAACCATTGGTTATGATAGTCATGCCAACCCCAACAAAGTAGTTTGCATCTACAAATAATTTGGTTTCACCACCCCTAACTTTCTTCCAGCCGTCTCCAACACTAGTCAGCATTGCGCGTCGTGGTAGACTGTGTTCAGGGATATGTAACACTTGGTTCAATCATCTTGGTCGATGTAGATTTACAACCTCATCAACTGATTTACCCATCATCATTCCCTAATACCATGCGTCTAAACCTCACTATTACTTACCCGGTGATTTGCTTTTAAATGACGTGTTTTCTGATAAGTTCAATTTAAGAATTCATAAATTGATGATTAAAACTTTGCTGGTTGGAAACATCGGTTATGAACAAGCCAGTTATGTTGTAGAGTGTTATTCATAAAAACAGAATTTTCACAATACAATACCCATTAAAAAGAACTCATTTGTATAGTTCAGATAATGGACAAAAATTTAATAAACATAACACAAAATTATGTCAAACATAAGAAGGGGAAAAAAAAGTGAAAGAACATACTGATTCTTGTAAATTCTGTTTTGTGCGTATTCCTTGATTTTTATCCCCATTTATTGTAGTATGATTTGTTTGTTTGGAATTGTGAACAAAATTTGAATGATGATTAATTTGATTTGGTGTATCCAATAAAGGCATACTATTTATAATAAATGGTTCCACTGAATGATTTCCACTATTGCATGGATTACGAAATCTAAATTTATTAGAATGTGATGAAATAGATGAACCACGATAACAGGAACCAGGAACAACTTGTGAATGAGTAGATGTATGAACATGATTTAAACTTGTAGGTGGACGTGCCGGTGGTGGGAAAGGTAGGTTCGTGATAAACGTGTAACCAGTACCAGCTGATGGAAATCGTGTAGATTGTGAAGAGGATTGATCTATTTCAATATTGTGCTTGTCATCAACTGTATCACTGAAACGTCCACGCGGCCAACAACCATACAATGCTGGAGGTCCAATGCGCACAGGCCTTGTCGCGGTGGCTAATTTTATGAAATGAAATACAGGCCAAATAAAAACGCAATTTCAAGGTAATGGTCGAGAGATTGTTAGGTGAACACAACTCTTAAATATAGTGAAATACATGACTAAACATTTGAAAAATAAAGGTTGCCGGACTAAACGAAACATGAACCATAGATATACTTAAAAGTTTAGGGCATGAAGAAAACATTTGTCACGATATTGATCGAAACAAAAGTGCCAAGACATAGTATTATTACCATTAGTAATACAGAGGATGTTATTTCATTCATGTTATGAACCGATCTAAGTCAGACCACTATCGAACACCTAGAAGCACTTGACATCTGTTTCGTTCCAGTATGGGACTCTTGAACAATGCACATCTACGATCCTGCACACAGGGCTCGAACCATGGACCTCCGATCTTGCGTGAGGACACTTAATCTCCAGACCACTGAGCTGGCATCCAAAGAGTCAATGTCACGCGATGTCATGGATTGATTGAGGTTATATATAAATACCATTGGATACCAACTCGGAGGTCTAGGGGTCAAGCGTACGCACGCGAGCACTACTGAGGAATCTCATACCAGAACAAAACGGCCTCCAGTGCTTCTACGTTTTCGATAGTAGTCTGACTTAGAACGATCCATAACATCAAAAAAATTTAACGATCTCCACAACCTCATATTAAGAAGACAGAGGATATTACTTTTAAAAGTGACTTAAACTGACATGAGAAATTTTGAATGAATTGACTATTTAATCGCTTATTCAAATGATAGATATGATATGTACTATCTTAATAAATAGAAAAAAAGAGGAGTTCTGATGTGTTATGACTTCATAAAAACTGCTTCAAAGTAGATCCATTTTATCTAGTGATTTGATCTTGATCAGAAACATTAAAAAAAGTTCCTGAAAGAGTTAAATTCATTGAATTAACAATCTTATAAAAAATGACTGAAAACAATTACCATTAAAATTATATTATTGAAGTGTATGTTTTACATATTAACAGTTACATAATTTATTTAGTATTCCTGATTGAACAACAAAAAAAGACAATCAGTCATACTATGAATCATTTAAGTAGATAATATTTTTATTATTGAGGATATATATTGTATAGGCTATTTATCCATCGATCATCAATAAACATGGATAGTTAATGAATATACATAACAATTTGGTGATATATGTGTAAAAACGAACTTAGCGTGTGCCGGGGAAAGGGAGACAAAGAGGTGGAAAGAGAGAGAGGGAGGGAGGGAAAAACGTAGAAAATCTCACAGATACTTTACTAACTCTTATATGTTCTATACTAAAGTTAAAATTGTGTATACATATTTCAATAAGATACACAATGAATAAGGTTAACAAAAGAAAAAAATCTCCTTAAGATACATACAACAACACAAAAAATAATATTCAGGTCAATACTGAATAGTGGTAATTCAGTTGTAAAATAAATTGTCATTTTTATATTATTACTAGAATGGGTTTTGTGGAGAATTGGTAATTTCAATAGTTGAAATCATGAATCAATTGAAGCTAGACCACCATGGAAAACCTGGAAGCACTGGATGGCCGTTTCGTCCTAGTATGGGACTCCTCAGGTCCTGGGTTCGAATCCCGCGGGGTGCGGGATCGTGGATACGCACTGCTGAGGAGTCCCATACTAGGACGAAACGGCCGTCCAGTGCTTCCAGGTTTTCCATGGTGGTCTAGCTTCAATTGATTCATGATTTCAACTATTGAAATTTTTATATTATTTTAAAAATACCTCATTGAGTGTGTGCACGTATGTGTGTGTGAGAGAGAGAGAAATAAACGGTATAATTGATGTTACAAGTGAATGAATAATAATTTTAATAGATGAGATGATGAGTCAATTAAAACTAGACCATTATGGAAAACTTTGAAGTACTGAACGACCGTTTCTTTTTAATATGAGATTCCTCAGCAATGCGCATCGACGATCCCGCCACGCGAGATTTGAACCTCAGTCTCACGCGTGAACGCTTAACCTCTAGATCACTGAGCCGGCATCTAATGATGTTAATGTTCAACTTCAACCAATCCATTAAATTGCGCCACCGTCCACCATTGTCCTCAGTGAGTTACTATCTCACAACAGACCCGGTTGAACTCCACTAGTTACTGTCTCTCATTGGGAATCCAGGAAATACCTCTTGAAGCCAGTCACTAGTGAGCACAAAAACCTCTTCTGAATTAATAATGTTTATACATTTATTCTAATCGTGAATAACAGGTTAGTGTGATCCGACATACTAAATATAGAACTGATTATGACATTTAAGCATATGAGTTGTGAATTTAAAAAACAAATACAATCATGCAAGATGATATTTTGTATTCGGTTTCAATATGACTGATCATATAACACTACAAGGAACATATTGATAAGTTCAGAGTTTAGATTATCATTATTTATTTGAATAATATATAGCAATATCTAATTTTCAGATAAGGAATTTCATATAACGGTCAGTAATCTTGAGTGTTGTTAGAGGTACGAGGGTGGTTATCACTTCCCGGACGCCCACACCATGGGAGGGTTCTTCTGAAGGTATCTGAAAACGAAATTGGGTTAGGGATGGTTTTGGTGACCTGAGAACGTGACCATAGTGCCCAAAGGACAACTGCTTAAGGACAGTCACACACGACCTTTTCGCAAGTAATTTTCGTGTTAGCTCCGTACTTGTTGAAACCTTACCGCCGGAGACAGATATCCGTGGGATAAGGTGAAATGTGCATTTTTAGGATCACGTTGAAAAAAACCCTGAAAAACTAGATGAATGGAATCTGTAACTGATGAACTTTAATTTATGATACTTTGGGAAGGTTCATGAAATTTTTTAACAAAGTCAAATAGGAAACAGTCAGTGGCCTACAATAAATTAAAGACACGATGACAAAATTTCTATTATTATTTAATATGATATTTAATTTGAGTTCTTTTAGGCTTCTTTAATGTATCCATTAGTAAAGATACATTTTTAATTCACTAGGTATTCAGTGAATCTGGTTTCAAATGTGACCGGAAATCCTTTACGCTGTCTATACGTGGGAACATAATTACTATTGTATTTTTTAATAGAGGATATAATTAGTCAGCCATAAGTAGCATAGAACGCCATGGCGCGTGTACATCGATTCAATTCGTCATAACCCAACATTAACACAGTGAAATAAAATTGTCAGCACCAACCACAGAGTAGTAGTGGTGGTAAAAGTTTTAGTGGTAATAGGAAGGAAAATATAAATTAATAACATAATAAGGCAAGTTCATGATGAATTTAGAAACTTAGGAACTAAGGGTAGATTGAATGATTTTGAGCCATGTCATTTAAAGTCTAACCATTGGTTACGACAATAAGACAGATACAAATCAAGTAGTCTTCCCCTACCAACATAGATCAGTTCAATAGTCAGTATTATTACAGACAGACACTGTTTTTGTTTGACCGCCCTTAGCTTTCCTCCAACCTAACCTTACACAGGTCATCATCAAGCCTCGTGGTAGTCGGTGGATAGACACCGGTAATACATATTCTAATCATTTCAATCGATTTTCCATCCTTACTTAATACTGTGCGTCTACTCTCAGGATTGCTAACTCAATGGTCCCAAAGTAAACAAGCAATGCTTTGAAGACATCTATGATCGGATACTAGTAATTTATATCTTTTATTTTTAAAAGCCATGTTTCATAGCCATAAAGCATAACGCAGCGAACTACTGAGCAGTACACTTGTCCTTTGGTTAGCAGAAAAAACCTGACCGTTTGAATCTGTTACGAGATTTAATTAGGCATCAGTCCACTAAGGTTGAAGAGACTTCCAAAATAAGTAAAATAGTCGAGAAATTCAACTGATTCATTCCCTATCATTAGTTCAGACGTTGACACAGACCACTGTTGAAGCAACATCTTGGCATGTAGAGGGAGAGAAACGCATACTAACATTGCTGCTTAAGGTGGTCAGAAGACTTTTTTCAGCGTCTTCACCAAATAGAACTGTCATATGCGTATTCAAAGTCAACAAGAGCACACTCTGATTAGTCGAACGATTGGTATTGTCTTTCGAAGAATGTCTATAACAAAATTAAACCAATGTGGAGACAGCGCTGACAAAAATTACTTGAAGATATCGATTCCGATGACCATTCGCCATAAGCTTTGACTCAATCAGTAGTGCTTGAGTAGAGAACCTGTGCAAGGTTGATGTACTTTGTTGGTATGTCTTTTAATGACAGACACTGCCATAAAACATGTCGATCTATGGAGTGAAAGATTACCTTAAGGCCTAGATATAGAACTACGGCTAGAAGTTGGTACGTATGTCTGTATTCAGGTGTAATTAGTGTTGTAAAATGATGGGGAAGATTTGTACCCTAGGTTGATGCGTTTTCTAAGCTGGACGATTTCATTACACAGCTTTCATTATCGTTCTGGACGAAATTATCAGCACCTAACTTAAATAAAAATGTGTTTAGGAGGTGAATTAGAAAGATATCACATTGCATTTCATATTCCTAGTCTACTAAAACCGGCATACAAAACGAGATGTTACAGGTTTTCACATTTGAACACTATGTTAAGTCGAATATTGATACGTATTAGAATTCGGCTTTAGATCATAGTGAGAAATCACGACTCCTATGAACGATTGAATGTTTTTTGTCAACCAAAAGATCTATAAAACCATGAAGGGATGATATATTAGCATACGCATTACATTGTTTTTTAGCTGAACATTTGTTTTTACTCTTAGAGAATTATGAGCACGTAGTGTCGAGATGAATGGGAACCTACCTCTTGGTTTGCAAAGGTTGACAGATTTACGCTAGCATGTTTTGAGAACTATTCAAATTGTCAATAAATCGACTATTACTGACGTATTCAGAGAAACTAACCTTAATGAAAACTATAACCAAACATATAACATAATTTAACTAAAAGTAATAGCTTACGGTCTGATGTCATCGTCTGTCCTGAGTATTTGCTATTGGCTATTCCATGCCAATTTATCAAAGGATATCGAGGATACAAAAAAGGTTGAGCGAGATTTGTGCAATTTGAACGGTCTGGGAGCATTGGTGTTGAATAGTTAGGGGGACCTGTAGTGGAGGATCCAAAATTCGGAATACCTCCAGGCAACAATGGTATATGAAATGGTTGTCTCAGAGAATTTAAAAAAGCATCTTGACGACCGGGCATAAGTGTCCAATAATCAGGTTGATCTGTATTATGTCGATTAGACTTAGAATATGGTCGACTGTTCGCTGAATCTGAGGTTGATATATTAGCTGGACGTCCATTGGGCAGTACATATACGATAGGAGCTTGAATAAACGATTGAACAGAGGTGCCAGCAAGAGATTGCCCATATAACCATAAGGCTAACATATGATGCAGATTTGTTAAAATAAGCTGGAAATTTAAGTAAGAGTAGTGGATGTAATAAATTACAGGAATCATAATCTCTTGAATAAACGAGTATCGGTCAACTAAACAGTTACGCTGCTATAAAAAATGAGAAAGCGTTTAATTACTACACGAAGATATGGACTGCATATAAATCAGTCATTAACAACATAGAACCTACAAGTTATCACAACCGGTGTTAGGGAGTCACGAGGAGAACAAGATAAAAAGTATCATATGGGGAAAATCTCGACTCCAAAGAAGAGTCAAACATGAGAAATATATTACAAAAAGAACAAATAAAATTGAAGAATGGGAAGTTACGCGTATCACTGAACTTAAGATTACGAGAAAAATGAACGCAAACGCAACATTGGGACCTGTTTTTCCACATTACCTAATCTATACCTATCGACAACTTTTAGACCTAGTCAATGAATTCACAAACTGACGCTATGTCTTGATTAGGTCATCAAAAGCCCATTACTGTACTAACCAACACTGCACGTTCGGATAAGCATGCCTCGAAGGTTTATGGACCTCACCATTACTAGATAGATAGTTCCAATAAAATGTGGACAATGCTTTGAAAGTATTTATGATCAGATATATCCAGTCCCCGGATGCCCCCAAATGCCCTGGCACGGCCGAGAGTGGGGGGAGTCCGCTCCCCCTCTCGAAATGCTCTCATATGGCCACGCGTATACAGCCCCTGCCAGGGAAGTCCTACTCACTACCTTCTCGTGGCGGGGGTGTTGTTTACAAAAATGAGAGGACGAAAAGCGAATGTCCGGCGCTTTAACCGGATCCCAAACCAATGGTGCACATGGGCTCCAGTATCCTGCGGGAACAAATGGCGTATGAACCGATCGTTGGTCACCGGCTACCATGGGACTGCATCTCCTCACGATGCTCCACTGCCTTGTGGATCAGATCCTTAGGTCAAAGGCTCGGGGTGTGGCCCCCTAAGAAAACCACCTGCTTCGGTTTGGGCACCCGGGCAGTATCACAGCCCTCACACATATCAAATGAGATCTGTGTGGCGCATATGTATTTGGTGCCTTCTTGTACCGATATTTATGTGTTAAAATAAATAAATAAATAGTCCCCGGATGCTTAAGAATTTAATATGCTGTTTCATAGTCACATATCAATACAGAGCGGATTGATCACCTACCATATAGGTCAGAAACAAGTCAGATCTTAAACTTTAGGCTAATCAATTTATTTATTTGAACACCTAAATATTGGTAAAAAGGGGCACCGAATACATATGCGCTACACAAGTCACTTGATTTATATGTGGGTTGTGATACTACCCGGGTGCCCAGACTGAAGCACGTGGTTTTTTAAGGGGCCTTCGACCTAAAGGTCTAGCCCACAAGGCAGTGGAGCAACATCAGGTAGTGCAGTCACATGGTAGCTAGCGATCAAAAACAGGTCCATATGCCATTTGTATCTTCAGGATACTGGAACCCATGTGCACCATTGGTTTGGAATTAAGTTTTTCCAACTCATCTATGTGGATTCGCCATATCCACCAACCCTGTTAAAGCGAAAGACATTCGCTTTTCGTTCTCTCAGTTTCGTAAACAACACCCTCGCTGAGAGAAGGTAGTGAGTAGGAGTTCCGTGGTAGTGGCTGTATACGCATGAACATATGAGAGCATTTGGAGAGGAAGAGCTGACTCTACCCACCCTCGACCGTAAAAGGGTATTCGGGGGCAAGACTAATGAAAATCTGTTGTGACGGGTGGTGTGCAAATCTGGTACTAATACATGGTCTTTTGCGCACTACCCCCCTCCCCAACTGACTACTTGAGCGAGAAAGTGTATTGGGCCACTGAATAAAATACACAAACACTCATTTATATATATACCACTCTAATCCTTAGGAAATTGATCAATTTTTTAGCCAATGAAATGGACTTGTCCTTTAGGTTACTTATTGCCATCGATCGACCTTTTCGTCAGGCTACTTCTGATTGGCTCTCCATATCAAAATCACTGATAAAACTGTTGCTGCATAATTAAATCTCTTTCCATTTAGCTTTAGTGATATAATTGGTACACAAGGGAGGTCATCCAGTGAATTCACGTTTTCAATGATGGTCTAACTTAGATCGGTTTATGATTTCGATGAAATCCGAAAACCCATAAAACTCCTTGCTGCCGAATGAATAGTAGTATTAACAATAATAATGAATATATTAAACTGGAAATGACTTACTTGTGTAGTATCAAAGTCAGCGTATATTTCTAATGGTATACGATTAGGATGAGCCCACAACTGATCTAAACCATCATTAGTTAATCCTCTTGGTGGTAAAATAAGTGATTTAGACAAACAATTAGCACCAGTATAGTTTAAATGTTGTTGTTGGCCACGCAGAGTAGCATTGATTCGTTTAAGTTGTTGTTGAACTAAACGTTTACGTCGTCTAGGCTCAGGTAGTACATGAATGAATTTTTTAACTGAATCATTTGATGATAAATTTGCATTTAAACGTCTACTAGCTAATGATTGAATCCAATTCAATGGAGATGTTCCAGATTTATTGCTATTATTAGTATTATCCGAGTCATCGGACTTTGCGAACACAGTCGATGTAAGAATGGAAGATGACTGAGATGTTTCTATGAATCCAGGATTATGAGTTGTAAGCCACCAGAGAAATCGATACGGCAGACATATTAAAGTGGCCAAACAAAATAATTTCTGACTTGAATTATCATTTGACGAAGAAGACCCAGTGGTCATCTAGTAAAAAATAAGGAACAAATCCGTGGTGGAATATCCATTAGAAAAAGGTGTAGAATCTGACTGGTTAATAAGCATACTTTAAACAGATTCCAGGTTCTATACCTTCAGATTAAGGTCAACTATAACTTTAGATTATAAACTATTACTTACAAAATATATTGCTAACAGTCGAGTAAATTATTCAGTCATAATCAATATAGAGGATGATATAAATATGAGCTAACGCAAGTCATTATATTAAATCAGCGCAACGAAATGAAGTTAAATGATGAACATGAGAGTTAAAATAATAATGATATCAATGATAGCAAGGGAGAACGAAAATTAAAAGTATGAAATGAAAAGATACATGTGAAGGAACACTGAAATTCAAAATCTAGAGGAAGGTGAAGAGATTGATTTCTTTTCATAGATAAAAAGTAATACAGAGCTATATATTAAGACCTAAGTTTAGTGCTATTCAGCACTCGTCAATAAGCTCTATCTGCGAAATTGGGAGAATTGGTGCACTCCCCTAAGGATTCGAACCCGGGTCAATCAGCTTTAAAGTCTGAGGTGTTACCACTGAGCTATTGCGACTGCGGTTGACTTGATCGATAGAATTCAATCAGCACGAAAAAGGACTAGACAAACGTTGGTCATTACTCAGTGATCAATTAATTGTAAATAGGTTAGGACATGAGCTACATTTGATGTGATAACTTACTGGTTGAAAGTGAAGCGCTTAATTTAGTAAGTTACTGAATCGATTTTTATAATCAATCAACCATGTTCATCATGGAGTTTGAAATATATGCGCATTGGGACAAGTTGTCATTATCTAATTTGCACAAGGTGAACATAAGATGAATAACAAAAGCTACTGAACTAACGTAGTAGCAATAACAATAAGAGAGATTAATCATTGAGAGTATAGTTTAAAAAGACAAGATGGAAAGGTATGTATAAAACAATACTAGAATTCAAGATTGAGAAGAAGATAAAGAGAGAATAGATTTTCACCGTTGTGAACAATGCTACCGAAAGTCTCCAGACATTGATCACAGTTTTTGTACCAATCTCGAACGGGCACTCTGCATCTACCAGGATGGCTCAGACCAACAGTCAATATATTTATGGATTTATGTTATATCTAGCTTTGGCGACAACCAGCTACCTTTTAACCTACTTCTATTCCAGAAAACATCGTTCATAACGGTAGAGCATGATTAAGCATACGTAACACATTCTAACGACCTCAAATATAAGTCAGTCAGCTGCAACGTAGGACCAGGCACGTATATGCATCGGTCCAAGTTGCCATACCGCCTTAGCACAAGATGAACACCGGATTCATAAAAGTAGTTAATTTAGTGGTGGTAATATATAGAAGAAAGATTGTGTATGAGGAGATAGTACAGGAAGAAAGAATTAGTTCATAGATAGAAAGATATGAAGCGATTTTAATCTCTTAATTTAAAGGAAAACAGAGAGTGTATACACCGACGCCATTGTGATCGATCCTGAGCCATGTCATCAAGAGTCTCCAACTATTGGTTACGATAGTCACGCGGACCCCAACCAGGCAGTCTGAATCTACCTTAAATATAAGCCAGTAAGAAGACATATATACCCAGAAACACATACACAATAGTGAATAGTCGAGTATTTGTTATAAATGTTATCCATAATGATAGCATACAATCACATACGAACACATATATACCTGACGTTTATGTAAATTTTTAAGACGTTGAAATATTTGCCATTGAGCCATAATTTGTGATTGAGCTGAACCAGATAAACTAACTAAACGATATGATTGATTTGATGTTGATGATGATAATGGCAATGTATTAGAAGTTTTTTGTTCTATAGATTCTGATATTTGATTATCTGAAATTTTTTCAGCAATTGTACAATTTGAATGTGTTGAAGAACTTTTCACTAGAGGATGATGATTACAAGAATCAGATATAGTATCTGATATTTGATTAACTGAAACATCATTGATCATAGTTTTATTATTATCATTACTATGAGTATCATTATTTAGTGAAGAAATCAATTCTGTACATTCTTTTATAGTGATAGTCATTTCAGTATTATTTTTATTATTGTCTACAATAGACAATTTATTTGTACAAATGTTTTCATCATTAACATTATTGTCAATAAGTTTATTGGATTGTTGTTTGGTAGAATCATCATCATCATCATCATTATCGTTATCGTCATCATCACCACCATCATCATCATTATTATTTTCATTGATATCCATTGAAGATAATAATTGATCATTTATAATGTTTATAGACTGATTAGTATCATTATTATCATCAACATGATCATTATTGGATTTAGATAATGATTGATCAATTTTACTGTTAATAATAGATGAAGAATCACCGTTTATATCAGTGACAGTATCATTAAAGAAAGAGTCAACAAGAGATATACATGTTGGTGATTTTTCATTAGATAATATCACATTATTATTTGAATAAGTACGTTTAGTAATTGGATTTAATGCATAAGGTGGACTGATTGGAACCTTGAAAATAAAAATAAAAAAAATAAAATTTGTTGGTGAATAAAATGTTCATTCAACTGGAATGTATGTGGATAACAATGTAATGTTTTATAATGTAAATGATTACTTTATAATGGGTTAAGACTATTGGTTAGAATAAGAAATATATTATTCAAAAGATGTTTATTTATTTATTTATTTTAACACATAAGTATAGGTACAGGGAGGCACCAAATACATATGCGCCACACGAATCTCAATTGATTTGTGTGAGGGCTGTGATACTGCTCGGGTGCCCAAACCGAAGCAGGTGGTTTTCTTAGGGGGCCACACCCCGAGCCTTCGACCTGAACGTCTGACCCACAAGGCAGTGGAGCATCGTAAGGAGATGCAGTCCCATGGTAGCCGGTGACCAACGATTGGTTCATACGCCATTTGTTCCCGGAGGATACTGGAGCCCATGTGCACCATTGGTTTGGGGTCCGGTTAAAGCGCCGGACATTCGCTTTTCGTCCTCCCATTTTCGTAAACAACACCCCCGCCACGAGAAGGCAGTGAGTAGGACTTCCCTGGCAGAGGTTACTTTGAGAGAAATTGAACGAACAAGAATATAGATGATACAATAAAGATTCATGACAGAAGGAACCAATTAGTAGTGTGTTGGGCAAGTTAAAATCTTGTGACAATCAACAAGTGAATGCCAGATAAAGTAGGTATTTTCTTTCTATGGTTTTTAACAATCTACCAATGTTCAACTTATTTGAAATTATCAAGTCAAACCTTGGCAATGATACTTACACAAACATTCAATTAGTATATGGGCTAGGATACTGTTCAGTTTCCTAAACCGAAACAAATGGTTTTCCTAGGGATCCACTCTTCAAGCCTTTGACATAGAGGTCTAATCCACAAGGTAGTGGAGCAACGTTAGGAGATGTAATTCCACGTTAGTCGGTGTCCAACAATAGGTTTAAACACTATTTATGTAGACTAACGGTTTGGAAACAGGGTTTTTCAACTCCCTGTCAGCCGCAAGAAATCAGTGAGCAGGACTTCTCTGGCAGTGGTTACATACGCATGGCCACATGAGCATTAGATGGGGAGAGCAAACTCTTCCCACCCTCGGCTGTACGTGGCTATTTGGGGCCAGTAAAGAATAGAAATATACAGAATGAGTGAGAGATATAGAAGTTGCATTTTAAAAGCTAGATTATAGCACAGAAAACAAGATATTTATTTAATAATAGGCGACATTGACATTTTGGAGGTTTCAGGGAAAGGTATTAAAATTAGTCATCAATTAGAAAATTTATTGTCCAATCAAACTTGAGAAAGCATGCAGATTTTTTCTAGACCGCTTCCCAAGAACGCCAGTTGAATTTATTCATCATAAAATAATGACTAAATGGAGTAGCGGCTTAGTGGTTAAGGAATTTAACTTCCAGCCGTTAATTCATACGTGATAACTCTACTACCCTACCTAATTCAATTTGCTCAACCGATTAATATCGCTACACCTTACAATTAGTGTTGCTCGTAATCAGGCACACGAATCTGTATCTAATAAATGAGATTGAAATCAAATAAATGATTGCATAATTTTTCATCCTAATCTATATAAGGTTATAAACAAAAGTTCATATATATATTCTAATTGTTGTTTATTTGTTTTTATCATAAATTATCCATTCATATCACCTGAGAAATCAGTTTTTCAACAACTGCGTCAAATTTTTGAAGGTTTTTCCACATAAGGTAATACAGAACAGCTTTACCAAACATTCTTTTGGATATGGCATGAAGTATAGAAAGAGAAGAATATCGTCTTACCTTGCCGACATGTATTTCAGCTCCTGTAACTTGCATAAGTTGTTGGATTCGAGATCCTTCTGATCCAATCAATGCACCAGCTTCGTTGTACGAAACACGCATATAAAGCATACCACCGGTAGCTAACCAAGCTATTGGACCTACAGCTGCAATTAATGACTGTTGAACAGCAGTCACCATAGTATGGTTAGTTTCTTTAGGGTTTGTTGAACGAGCTAAGCGTTCAAACGCACATTGATCAGGTTTTAATTGATCTAGTTTATCGGATTTTTGCATTTCCGAATCAATACAGTTATTAGATGGCGATTGCAATTCTGTTTCTGAACAAAGAAATTAATGTGAAGAGAAAATATGAATACATTCAACAAGTATAAGAAACAAGGACTAAGAAAGGTTTTGAAGATAAACAAAAGTGAGCATATTGTAACACCCAACCAACTAACTGTAGTTGAAGTTGAGGAAGTTTTGTTGTTTAAAAATTAATAATAGTGACATATTGGATGAGTAAAATAAAAATAAAAGTACGCAGTGCACTGTATGTGTTTAGTAACATGGAGAATACATGTTTGTGATGTGTTGAGAAATTCAATTATCAGTCTCATCAACCTTGGTGGGTAAATAACTGACCAGATCTGGCTACGGATGACAATAGATGGCTGGACATTCGCCAGCTTATAAAAAAATATTCGATAGCCTGCTAAATCAAAAGTACAATTCGCATCAGATGACTAAGTATTACTTCATGGCTGTGATACAGTATTTAAAGGTAAATGACATTTGTACACTGGTAGCATTTTGATCATAGATAGATTTTAAATCTCGCTAGGGCATGGATGAACCACTGAGGTTAGTCGTAGTGACTTAAGTAGGTGTGTTAAATTGGCTAATGGTATTACTAAATTTAGTCGGTTTAAGTTGTTGGGATATATGTTACATATACTTTGTAACTACCTAGACTAACATGATATGCTGGTCAGCATAGGATTAAGTTGGAAGATGGATAGAGATAGTCAAACAGAACATGACATCAATCTATGAGGTTATCAACTGTTTGGTTGAACCTTACAAAAAGGTCAACACTTACTGATTGAGATCTTCAAGATAATCATAATCTGAGACGTGGTGATATGGCTAAAAACTGATCCAAGTGGAGTAGACGCGTTTATTCCTTTCATCCCTTTAAATATTGTGTCTTCCTAATATTACAAACGTCTGAAATGTGTTTTCTACGTTTAGCCTTTAATTATTAATATTTTTTTAAATTCACTTGTTTTTTAGTCTTGTTAGTTTCTTATTTTAACTTAATGTTAAGTGTTGCACTAGAAAAGATATACATATTTGCTACAGGTTTGTTTTATATTGTGTATGTAACTAGCCGAACCATGTGAATGAAGTACTACTATTAGTAGTACATGACACTAATTTCTTGTTATGTCCATTTATTAGTGTACTATTAAACATAAGAAATTGAGTATGATTACTGTCATATGTTAATGATAAACGAAAAGATATATTTACAAATCTACATCGTATCTTGGAGTTCATCATCACTTAGTTAAAAAACATGAGTACTAACATAACAAGTCTGGAACTAAGTGGCTAGTATGGTATGATAAAGTGGACAGAAATGTATGACACAAAACGATTTGATAATATTATGGAGGAAATCAAGTGAACAGAGAAAGAGAGAGGTTTGAAGATAGAGAAATCATACAATCGATTAGTATACTTGACGTTTTTCAAATTACATTTTTGTCTATCCCTAAGCAAATAATATGTATAGGATATGTTTACTCACAAGGAAATGAGTACAAACAAAATATTATCAGGGAAGAATTCAATAGGATAAAACATTGATTTGCCGTAAAATAAAAACCATTTAACATCTTATAAGAAATACGATTAAAAAAATCACATACTCCCTTAATTACCTTTATTCTCGCTAGACATTTCTAAAACAACAGTGGATTCATTTTTGTCTTGTTCAAAATCAGATGATACAACACTATCAATAGTTTTATTGTGTACTGCTTCCTGATCCTGATCCTCTTCATCTTCATCACTGTCATCATCATCATCATCACCATCATCATTATCATCATCAACCGACAATTTAATGTTAATTAATGAGTGATTAAATGTATTGTCAATATTCTCTTTTATTTCGGGGTTGATCTTACTTTTCTCATCACTGTCACTAATAGTTTCCAAGTTGTCATTATTATCATTGATATTTTTGTCTTGTTCTTGTTTATTTGTATCGTTTTCATCATCAACATTTACTATATTTGTTGAATTAAGATTATTATCATTATTATTTTCAATGTTTTTAGATAATGTTATATCAGTTCTTGGAGTATTCATATTTCTCAGTAAAGATCGTTTATTATAATATTGAAAATTAGTATTTTTTCCAAGTTTAGCACATACAGACTGAGGCCAAAATATAGATCCCAATGACATAATTAATGAACATACTGATTGTGGATCATAACTAAATGATAAATTAGAAGATTTCAATGATCTATTATTACTATTCATTGGAAGAGAAGGAAGATGATTGAGTAAAGGCCAAAAATTAGATGGAATAGATGATTCAATTGTTGCCCATCGAATTTGTTCACTGAGAAATGCTTCAGCTGCACAAATAGAATGTAATTGACCACGAACAACTAATACTCGGTCGGTAGGAGATAAATTGGATTGTTCAACGTCACTAGAAGGACGAATTTGAAGTGGTGTTCTTGACACACAGAGAGAAAATAGACACTTTAATGTTTATTTAGGATATATAAAAGGGTACGTTTTATAAAATTACAGAGGCCTACCAAAACACAATTTTACATATATGTAAGTAGTATTTGATCTCCATTAGTGTACTGTTGGGAAACAGAGGGGGACACTGAACAATTATATTGTCCTAGTGTGGAATTCCTCAGTAATGCACACCCATGACCCTACCAGGGATGAAACCCAGGATCTTTAGGTCTCACCGAGGACACTTAACTACTACAGTCACTGGACAAGCGTTTAATGGCACAATTTTAACCCCAGTTAGCTCATAATAAAGAGTGACAATTATTCCCAGAGCCACTGGCGACCTATGTTACGCTCTTGACATTTCTGAACACCAGTCACGACTTATCTCGAGAAATTTAATAACACTCTGGAGTAAGTCACTAGTAAGCTATTATAGTTTAGTTGGAGGAAATTTTGAAGGTTAATTTGTGGGTAGTATATATATATTATATATATCAACCTGTCTAGGGAATATCACAAAATGTTAGTAAATTATCTAAACAAACCCTTATAACAAGCATGAAGTGTACGAAGTTTTAAACTAAACAGATAACCAAGAAGACAGACAGTTTCCCGATGATAAGATCAACTTTCCATACAATAGACTGGTTATTGAAAGATCCAGCTATTTATCTCATGCGAAGGATAAGAGTATCTGGAAATAAGATTCATTTGTCAATTTTTTGATTTTTTCTTCTAACCATTCAGTACGACAAGTCAAGATAAGTGTATATAACTCAACATAATTCACTTCATTGTGATAGAATCAATTACAAATCTGAAAGTTATTAAAACTTTTTACAAAAAAATGCAGGCAAGGAAATGGTCAAATTGATGAGCTGAACTACTTAATTAAAATTTACAACAGAGTAAGTGAGACTGGATTAAAAATAAAGCTTCTTTGGTAGCTAAACCAACAGTCCAAGCCAAAGTCGTAAGTCTAATTAGTGTCCCCCTTGAACAATTTTCAATATTAATCAATATCTACAAACCAATTTAAAATGTGCCCCCGAATGCTCTGGTATGGCCGAAAGTGAGGAGAGTTAGCTCTCCCTCTCCAAATGCTCTCATATGGCCACGTGCATACAACCACTGCTAGGGAAGTCCTACTCATTGCCTTCTCGCGGCATTATTGTTGTTTACGAAATTGAGAGGACGAAAGGCGAATGACTGGTCCTTTAACTGGGTTGGTGGACACGGAGAGTCCACCTAGGGGAGTTGGAAAACTCTGATTCAAAACAAATGGTGCACATGGGCTCCAATGTCCTGTAGGAACAAATGGCGTATGAATCAACCATTGGTCACCTGTTGCTATGGAACTGCATCTCCTGACGTTGCTTCATCGCCTTGTGGATCAGACCTTTAGGTCGAAGGCTCCGGGTGTGGCCTCCTAAGAAAACCACCTGTTTCGGTTTTGGCACCCGGGTAGTATCCCAGCACTCACACAAATCGAATGATTTATGTGGCGCATATGTATTTGGTGCCTCCTTGTACCAATGTTTATGTGCTTAAATAAATAAATAATTTAAAATTTAAGAGCATATTTATGATATAGGTAGATGTGCTTGTTTACTAAGAGAAAGATAAGTAATTGTTAGGTTAGAATAATTGCTTATTTTGACTTTATCTGATTTTTTTTTCTTTAAAGGATTGGAAATGTTGAGACGTTAGTTGGACATGGATTAAGTTACGCTAATTTCTTTTTTGTGTCAATCAAATCTTGTGTAACGCTAACAATATTCCTCAGCAATTAAGTATGAATTTACACTAAACTAAGATCATAGGTTTAGTGTGAGATATGGTGAGAGTATTTTATTTCTTAAATAGAAACTAAGAAGAGGAGAGTTTCTACTTTTGATAAAATGATTGAGAATTCAGTTTCTAAATCATTAAGCTATAGATGAGTCTAATTATTACTGATTATTATGGGATTAGTGTAGTTCAGATGATCAAACATCACTGCATTTTGGTCAGTAATCGAAGTCAGGACTGGATGAGCACATGTTCTAACATTCTATTCCGCAATTAAAGTAGGTGAGCGATTATCTACTCGTTAAGCTAATATTCTACACACACCACTGGAGTACTTGGTCCAAACAGACCTATTGTCCCATTTGTATATGGAAGTAGTTACCGAGTTGTATTCATTATCTCATCTACTAAATGGTTAAATGTATGTGGTCTAAAAGCACATAGTAAGTACAACTTACCCCGTTACTGATATGCGTGCGCCTGTAGCAGTATGAATAGCATTGAAATATTTTTTCCCTTTATTCATTATCAGTTGTGCATAAATATGCTGTTCAACAAGTAGACCTAAGCAAGGATCAGAGAAGCCACGATGTTTAGATTCACGGAAACATATTGTAAGAATCTCACATAATGCCGCTGAACATTGTTCCCTTGATCCGAAAAGAATAGCAAGCTGACTCTCGTCTGATTGAACCTCTAAGTTGGATTGAGACTTATTAGCTAATATAGATTCAGTATTGATATTTGAACATGTTTCTGGTGCTTGATCAACCTTTGTATTGCCATTAACATTTGTGAAAGCATCTTTATTGTCAGACGGTTGACTTGTTTCTTCTTTTTCCCCTTCTTCCTCTCTAAAATGATTAGTACTGCTGGAATCAGATGACTTGAATGTCTTTTTTCCTTTCCCAGGCAAAGAGAACTGTGAAAAAGTGATAATATCCTGTTTCATCCCTATTTTAGCTCCCGTTTTTGTTGTAATCTGACGAATAGTTCGACCACCTCGACCAATAATCGAACCAACTAATGATGTGCTAAGTAACAATCTGGAAGAGAAAACAATATATATATATATATATATATATATATATATATATAACAGTTTAAGCTAGACAAGATACTTTCAATAAATGATAAATTCCTAGTTGTTCTATTTACCTTCAGAATTTATTATTTATTTATTTATTTTAACACATAAATATCGATACAGGGAGGCACCAAATACATATGCGCCACACAAATCTCAATTGAATTGTGTGAGGGCTGTGATACTGCCCGGGTGCCCAAACCGAGCAGGTGGTTTTCTTAGGGGGCCACACCCCGAGCCTTCGACCTGAAGATCTGATCCACAAGGCAGTGGAGCATCGTGAGGAGATGCAGTCCCATGGTAGCCGGTGACCAACAATTGGTTCAGGATACTGGAGCCAGCCCATGTGCACCATTGGTTTGGGATCCGGTTAAAGCGCCGGACATTCGCTTTTCGTCCTCTCATTTTCGTAAACAACACCCCTGCCACGAGAAGACAGTGAGTAGGACTTCCCTGGCAGGGGCTGTATACGCGTGGCCATGTGAGAGCATTTCGAGAGGAGGAGCGGACCCCCCCACTCTCGGCCGTACCAGGGCATTTGGGGGCTACCTTCAGAATAGTTTAAGATGGATAATTGTAGTCCAGCGTCTATGAGTACCAACAGGGTTGTGTTGTTTTAAACACTAGCATAGCTATGAAAACAACATATTTTTAGGTAATGGTGATTAATCAATATTCGCTACTGCGATACTTCAATGGGGACCCAGTGTGGTATATTTTCTTGGTATGTTAAGGTGAGTAAATATATTAACTATGCCAAAAGTAGTGTCCCGTGATTTTAGAGGTCCAACCGAAATGGCATGCTGGACTATACTCCTTAAATAACATCATCAAACCTTAACGTTTCCTGTCACTACTTATACTTTCACTACTCTGCCACTACGGGATTTGAGACGATAACTGAATCTCTGTGCTAATGTGGTTTGACAACTCGAACTGATGTACGTACGTACGAAGTTCCACGTTGTTTCTGACTGACTGACTGCATGCTGGTGGTTACAAAGATGAGCAGACAAATGAGTGGTCCTTGTAGCGCCAGTATACATGTATCTACGGACGGTATGTAGTTGTTGCAAACGTCATTTCTGAAATTGTAGATTCTAACAATCTCAACAAAATATTGCAACCACTAGCGACTTATTGGAAATGTAGATATAATAGCATCAAAAATAAAGAGAATCAAAGATAGCCAAGTTTGAATAATTTATTGATCTATAGTCAAGTAGTTTAGCATTCTTTAGAGGTACATGAAAACAATAAAAAGTAAGGAAAACTTATCGAAAAATACTAAGCGCAGTACTCATGAACAATTAGGTATCCATAAGAAACTCGTTTTTAAATGACCCGATGAATACGATGGATAGGACACACTTTTTTTCGTGAATCCATCAAAGTGGAAATGAAAAGTCATTTATTAGGTTAGTAATAACAGAAATTAATGGCACGTGAACGGCTTCGTAATAACCAACTCGGAAAAGTACAAACAATAAGAACTGACACAAATCGCTTTGATTGCTTAGAAATCTTTCGTTCATTAATAAAAAAGCAGTTGTTTCATAAGTAGATAGATTGTAGTTAGATTACTAAACACTTTTGCTTTCCAAACAGGATCAAAAGAGATTCGATGAATGATCGAAAGACACATGATTGTTACTAGGATGAAAATGAACATAATCTACTCAGGAATTAAGTACCTCTTTTAGAACAAGCTGTCCAAAATGACAATAGCTACGATAAAATCAAGCATTCAAAAAAGTCAATTTTGAGTTATATACACTGAAAATAATCGATATAAAGTGAAATGGATTATGCACTAAAATAAGAAAATATGCCTTTGTAAAGATGTTATCGACATTTGGTAATCAGGATAAGTCTGGCGGTTAAGGCATCCGCAACTCAGTCACTAAGTCAGATTCGGACCCCAATTCACGGTTTGAAAAACTGAGTGGTATTACTATATGTCATGCTTAGAGCATGGCTTGAAGCCAAGTACACGAGTCTATACCTGACAATGAGTAGAAACTCAATTATTAAGATTCAAAATTAGTCAGATTAATGTGGATTTTACAAACCACGTAAATGGATAAAAGTAAACCTTATTTCATTTCAAAGTAGGATACCAGTAAGAAAAAGATAACTATATTTCCAATATTTACTGATAACTCCTGTTACATAAACAATGTCACGACAGGTGCCATTTATAAGTATATAAGAGTATATGAAGACTTACCTTGTTGGACATGAATCAAGAACCAAACGAAAACCACTTAATTTCAAACTACCTATTACATTTTCAGGAAGACCTTGAACATAACTAGACAGTAGGTTATTATTGGCAAGAGATGATTGATAATTTTCCAGATGCTTTTGTGGTCCTCCAACAGATTGCTCATTAGTCTGGTTTACCGTCCCATAAACATTTGTATAGAGCTGTGGATAATCGAAATGGGTGGTTTTTGTATTCAGCTGGTGGTGTGAATTAAAGTCCTGGTTAGTTGCAGATAAGGAAGATCTGAGACCTTGACTACCTGAGGATACGAAACTCGATGTTGTTTGAACAGTAAAAGAGTTAGTGTTTTTTTCCGTCTGTGTTAACTTATCATTTATCGAACTAGAAGTAGGTTTACGGTCATTAAGACCAGCTTGTTTGTCTGAAGAGAAATTCTTAATTACGTTTTTTGACTTTGTATTGTTTAAACGAGAGTGATAAGAACTTGATGGAGGTTTACAATGGATTGCATCTTTAGATTTATTCCACTCACGAGGTTTGTGACTTATGCGCGGATAATTATCTTTTACGGGATAAGGTGATTGTTGTAATGTTTTTGAATTATCAGAATTAAAAACATAAGCATGCGAAGAGACAGTATGGTTGTGATTGCTGCCAATATAGTTATTATTGCTTTGAACGGGTATACAAGATGGAACTGATGATAAGTATGAATTATTGTGAACTTGATAGTTCGATCTTGAAGGCAACTGACCTACTGGAACAGAAGTCATATATGAAACATCATTACTGGGAAAATCTACTTTGTTGGTCATAGCTGAGGAGGAATTGAATTGTAAAGAAGCGGGATTTTGATAACTGCATGGATGTTTTTGTGTTTCGCCATGTTGGAATGTAACTGAACCAGGTAATTTAGAGATATCTGGCTTTTGACCATCTGTTTGGTAAAAAGATGACTGATTAAAACCAGAAAAATATGGAGTGGCTGTATATTGAGTAAATGAACCATGGGAATTCAAATTATATTCGTTGACTGTAGATGGGAAGTCATTTGGAACTAAAACCTTTTCGTTTTTTATTTTCCTAGCAGATGAATCATGATTCACAGCAGAGGACATATTATCTTCGAGACCAGCCCAAGTGTTGTGGCGTATACGTGAATTAAAGTTCGTATTTATTGTTGAATCGAATCCAGCGTTCATTTGCGCAGGATAGTGCCCAAACAAGGCTGCAGATTGCTGTGTATATGGAACATGAACATTTGGATTAGTAGGATAGACAGCTTGAACATACTCTACCATCCCATGTAACGATGGTGGCTGAAGTGTAGGACTCGTGTATAGTTGGTGGTGTGAGACAACGGGATGTTGTTGGACTGGGACAGATGGGACGTAGGCTGATTGGTTCATTGACACATTAACGTCAAGAATTCGAGGGTGCAGGTCACGTGCAGTGTTCGTATTGTTAAGATTATTTACCTGCTTTGAACCAGATGTTAGAAGTGGTTGGGTAGAACCAGATTCTCTGTATGCTGGAGATAGGTTATCTTGTGTTAATGTTCTTATAGTCGGTTGCCCTACAATTCCTGGAATAAGAAATGGTTGACCTAAAGAGCCAGATGGATGTTGAGAGTTTGGGTGAAGGACACCAGTTTGTTCAGAGCGTATTGATGTAGATGGGTTTTGTAGACCTGTATGTGGTTGAACTAAACCATTGGGAGTAGCCGCCACAGCAAAATGAACCTGTTGGGCTCCCAGAGTAATCGATCCATGATTCCCACCAGCATTTCCGTTTGATGGTTGAAAAGAATGAGCACACGATCTTGAATTTAGTTCATTTATTTTGACGTTGGGTGCATATTTATAATTCTGATTTGAGAAAAAAAATTTAAAACTGGTTTAAATAAAATATGCAAGTTGTATACAACACTGAGTAATATTATCTTATTTCACTTGTTACAGCATTAAAAGATATTACAAAGAATAATGAGAAATCGAGTAGCACTATTTCTCAAAAATGCATACGGTATATAAGTTAGCTGATTCTAAAATACTAGCAAATTAACACTACTTGGAAGTGGACTAACAACTTACTAACTTTTTGTGTTTAGATGTATACGAATAAAGAAAACGTAGGATTTTATTGCCTTCCAGGATTGAGTCTAAGAAAATACCTAATATGAGCTGCGAAGATTTACCATTACAGCAGGATGACCTAAGCCAAAATTTATTCGGTAGATTATAACTATTATCGAGTGATTAAGTACATGAAACAGGATATTCGGATACACTATATAAATAACTGACAAATAGAGGGGTCTTTAACCTTAAAGCTTTATCGGCTAAGTCAGCAATCTTCACTGGTGAGAAGACTATTGACTTAGATACATCAATAAGATGGTACAACATATCCGCAGGTATCAGATGCAAGGTCTTCTGAGTTAGCTTTCGTCACTTAACACAATCACTTGAGTCTAATCGCTAATCTTATTCGTTTATATTTGATTCAGAGGTCCTCAATGTCGAATAAATGGTGAGAGAACTAGTTAGAAATATTTATTCGGTAGTATTTTTGATGCTTGTGCATTTCAGTCAAAACTATAAGGTCATGATCTCCTGTAACAGCATAGTAAAAATAAGTGGAACTTATCCTAGTACAACTTGCAGAGAAAAATCAATTTCCTACGAGAACAGAAATAGAGATAGTAACTTATCAGTCTTGGTACAGTTGAAGAAGCTCTACAACACTTGATGATGCTTGAGAAACATTTCAGGTAAAAGTGAGATAGTGGCTGTTTGATAACGATGTAGTGCCCCCAAATGCCCTGGTGTGACCGAGAGTGGGGTGGGTTCGCCCTCCTCTAAATACTCTCACAAGGCCACGCGTATACAGCCTCTACCAGGGAAGTCCTACTCACTGCCTTTTCGTGACGGGGGTGTTGTTTACGAAAATGAGAGGACGAAAAGCGAATGTCCGGCGCTTTAACCGGATCCCAAACAAATGGTGCACATGGGCTGGCTCCAGTATCCTGAGGGAACAAATGGCGTATGAACCAATTTCCATGGGACTGCATCTCCTCACGATGCTCCACTGCCTTGTGGGTTAGACCTTTAGGTCAAAGGCTTGGGGTGTGGCCCCCTAAGAAAACCACCTGCTTCGGTCCGGGCACCCGGGCAGTATCTCAGCCCACACACAAAAACATGATGAACAGTCTACTTGTGGAAAATATTCTTTTTGCCCCGATCAACAATCAAATAACTCGCATTATAATTATTATTATTACTACTATTGTTATAATTATTTACTACGTCATTTATTCATCCCCTTTTATTCCTACTGTCTATCCTTATTTCTCGACTTATACAGCAGCTCGCGTGTGGCGCATATAAATTTGGTGCCCCCTTGTACCAATATTTGTGTTCAAATAAATAATAATAAAACGATGTGGTTTCTAACGTAATGAGAAATCATGAAAGGAAATTTTATCCAGTTTTATAACAGAATGATATGCAGTACAGATTAGTTTCACTACTGGATTGGGCCACATGTTGCGCATGCCCGAACACCGATTACCACGATGCGCAATGCTAACCGGTGTTGTGGATGGTTGGAAGAAAGTTAGGGGCGGCCAAACCAAAACGTGGCATCAGTGTTTGAAGTCACTAAGTTTTAGTCTGAGCCATGTTGGTAGATGCAGACTACTTGGTTGGGGTCCGCGTGACTATCGTAACCAATGGTTGGAGACTCTTGATGACATGTTATTTATTTGTTTTAACACATAGATATTATTACAAGGAGGCAACAAATACATATGCGCCACACAAATCTCAATTGATATGTGTGAGGGCTGTGATACTGCCCGGGTGCCCAAACCGAAGCAGGCTTGGTGACATGGCTCAGAATCGACCACAATGGCGTAGGTGTATACACTATTTGTATTCCTTTGAACTAAGAGATTAAAATCGCTTCATATCTTTCTTTCTACGAACTAATTCTTTCTTCCTGTACTATATCCTTATATGCAATCTTTCTTCTATATATTACCACCACTAAATTAACTACTTCTATGAATCCGGCGTTCATCTCGTGCTAAGGCGGTCTGGCAACTTGGACCGATGCACATATGTGCCTGGTCCTACGTTGTAACTGACGTTACTTAGAACTACTGAATATTCTCGACGCGTGTGTATGCGTTCACTCTTCAAATGCCGATATCTTATACGAATATTTGATCAGTTTCAATGTCGGTAAAATCAAGATAAGTGCACTTTTAGTGCTACGATAATAAATAGCGCGTGCTTTGCACCTTTAATCAAAACTAGTATTGAGACAGGTTATTATTAGTTTGGTAGACACCCTATCTATTTCTTCACTGTAAATCATGTGGTGAGCGAAGTTAGTGTCCATGTAAGGGGAACATGTATAAATACAAGAACTAGGTTTTGAACCAAAAGTTGTATGTTAGAAGTAGTCTTTAGCTGTTGGAAACAGTATTTAGTGAATTTGAACTAGTAATATAAAGAGTGACTCGAACTGACGACTCAGTTTTGTGATTGTGAACATTGCATTTCTACACTTGCCTGGAATTTTTTTCAAGTTTACTGTTAAGATATAATTACACAGATATAGGTCTAAACAACACAGACACCTAACTAAAGACAAACGCCTCAAAATAGACGTATTACATGGGATACGAATAAAGTGATAAAATACCTCAAATTAAAAGACGATGTGACAGCACGTTAGTGTCACATGATTCAAAGTTTGAGAACGTATATATTTCTACATGCAACACAGGTCAAAACGCAATTGTTTTCTCAGATTGTTCGTACATCAATCGGAATATGCTACTCCATCATTTGACATATCCTCTTTACCCATAGTTAAGCGAAGGCTTGATGGCTAAGGCGTTCGACTTATAACCGCTAGATAGCAAGTCTGAGTACTCCGGTTTGAGCAGTAAGTTAATATTGCTGACTCACATAATGAGGCTCGAAGCTGCAAACACGAATCTGTACTTGATAAATGAAGTACATCAAGTCGAACATTCGCTTAGATGCAACTTTATCAAATGATTGATGACAACACTAACTACTGTGGTTTTGTAAAACACCTTATGTCCTTATGAGGCAGATAATCTGTGTTAAAGTAACGATCTATAGCCTTATAGAAACTGTTAGAAACAGTTGATGTATATCTATCATATGAATTTACAATAGCCATAAAGTCTACAGGAAGGATTAAAATTAATACATCATAAATGCCTTACTGGTATTTTACTGAAATTACAAGTGAAATAACCCGTAAATGTATACGCTATTAAAATGAACTGAATTGAAAAGTAGTAAAAATACAAAGGAACACAGGAGCTAGTGGGTTTGGAGTCTTTATGAAGAGTTCCATATTGAGGCTATTCAGAACAAAGTGATAAGTTCCAAAAGACGCCAATAGATATCTTTGAACTAAACTTAAGATAAACTAAAAGGCTAGGTTATTTGACGAGAGGCGTAGCTCAGATAATATCCAGTTAGGTTAGCTTAGACAATGTTTTGTCTTTTCCTTACCTCACTTGACTGACTGATTGGTGTCTGTTCCATATCTGTCATGTTTTGTCCAGGAAATACATTAATCATTTTATTTAAGCCATTAACATACATGCCTTGCGTCTGAGTCCATGACCCATCCATAGGGCCGAGGTTTTGATAAGGTTGTGAGAGAGCAACTTGATATTGTGTGTGAATATTTGGTCCCGCGTTAGACGTTGAAGCTGACCGACTACGTTGAGTAACTATGTGCTGTTGCTGTTGATGCGGTATGAGGGAAGATAATGCAGTATTGGAATACATAAAATTAGCTGACATGTTGTCGAAAAAACCCCCCAGGATTACTATGTCTTTGTCACCGGATTAAGAAATATCTGTTGAGATATGAAGACATGAAAATAACTACAATATCCACAAGAAATGGAGGGACAAATCTCCGCAACAATCAAGCCGATGGAGTCGAATCTACCGGGCTTTAAGGTCCGGCAGCAACGGACCTAAACAAAACACAAGTTTAATGTAATTATGGTCACAAACTTTTGGAATGAAGGAGATATCACTGGTTATATGAATAAGACTACTCTGGATCTTCGGATTGTCATAGAGAAAACAAAACAAGCTTTTATTCAATGGGCTGTTGTATGCAGTAGCATTGAGTTTCGACTGGACTTCCACTATCCAATATCTTTGTGCAACTTATATAACCTTATTGGTTTCTTTATGCTCGTTTCATATTGTTTAGATACAAATCCGAATCTTCAGTGCTGACAAAGTGACCATAGTCTGGCCACTCCAATTCACTAGTTCTGGTTAATTCGGTAGTTATTTGTAGGTCTGTATATCTTGAAGTTTCAGTGAGTGCATTTGTCCTGGCAGTCTCCTGGATCGGCGGCTATTATATCGCTACTTGTTTATCGGCAGATTTAGAGGTAATGTCAATGATTGTTCCAGAGTCCGATCGTAGTTCCATACAATCTTTGGTGGCCAGAGAATGATTTTGCGGACGGGCCCACAGAAAATAAGATGACTTCAAACACTTTCGGTGTAATGTCCCCATCTTTTTTGTATGAATTATGAGGCAGAAAAGGCTTCCAGAAATTTCCTTAACGACTACGAAAACAATGTAGTAGAATATATCTTGTACAAAGTTTATGCTCGTGACTGTCTGATGTTTTCCCCAAACAATAGAGGTGCAGCAAACACGTGAAAAAATTAGAAAAATAATTGGCTCTAGGAGGCTTCGAATGAGGAAGTTAGTAACCAGCTTAGCACAACCGATGGCAGTTTTTCACACTTTCGACAGTGTAAAAACAATAGTTGATGTGTCTTGAAGTTAGAAATCCATCCGTAGAGCTGTAGGCAAAGAATGAGAAGCGCCACATGAAATGTTTTGAGCGTCAATTTGGTACGGCTGAGAAACATTTATCATTTACTTTTTCTGTCCTCAACCCACTGAAATTATTGCTTCGTTATTATTCCTTGTCAACGAACTTGCAGTTTTTGCAAGTCTTATGATGGTTTGAACCAGACCCCGAGCACTATTGTTAAGTCTTCAAATGAAGAGTGGATTAATTTTATGCAGACGCTGAGGAAAACCACCGTTAATAGAAGTATAAGGAGTGAAGATGAAAAGCACATTGAGGGGTCTGAGTCACGTTCTTGCAATTTCTCCGAGATATGCTATATGGAGGCAGCATGCTCGTGGAACATCTATTATCTTAGACCCCTGTTTAATATAGTGAGGCAACAGTTGGACCCATAGAACCAGTAAGTGTGCCAAAATTAGAGTTAGCATCCGAGGTCTTAAATGCACTGATCGATGATATTTTAAAAATGAATACTACACGTATGTCAGACGAAATCTGCATCCGTAGAAATCTTATAATACCTTTGCACCATATTAGGAACGCGGTCCTTGTTTTGCCAATCCCCGCCTTACATCTACATCCCATCCTCATTGTTCACCAATGATGCCCCCAAGTTAAATGAAGGATTCGACATCTTCCAGAGTTTCCCCATCAACTGTGATTGTGTTGGAGTTCTCCATGTTGTGCATCAGGACATTGGCTTTTTCCTTGAGTATGTTGAGGCCTACTGATGCAGAAGCTGCTGCTACACTGATTACCTTCATCTGCATTTGTTCTTGTGTATAAGATGGGAGGGCTAGGTCATCTGAGAAGTCCAAATCCAATTGATTCTGAGTTGTGCATTGTATTTTGTGCTTTCCATCTAATGTTGTGGTCCTCATAATTCAGTCGACCACCAGAAGAAAGAGAACGGTGAAGAGTAAGCAGCATTTTGTTGACTCCGTCCTTACATAGAATGCATTTGTCAACTATTCTCTATGAATGATTTTCAGTGTAGTTCATCATATGAATTACGGATGATGCTGACGATTTTCTCCGGTACATCATAGTGTCGAAGAAGTTTCCATAGGGTCCTCTTATCTTCACTGTCAAACGCCTTTTCCTAGACAAGGAAATTGACGTATAGTATCAAGTTCCATTCATTTGATTGTTCAACGATGATCCGTAGTGTCGTGATTTGATCTGTACACGACCGATCCTTACAGAATTCGGCCTGTTGATCACGAAGCTGGATGTCCGTTAAGTCTTTTATCCGGTCCAGCAACAATGTCGAAAGCTTTCCCTGGTACTAACAATAGTATGATGCCTCTATAGTTCTCACATTTACTCAGATCTTCCTTTGATGTTTTGCTGAAGTGTTATTTCCGGTCTGTTGATATTTATTCTCCCTCCCAAATCTTCCTGAATATGGCGTGGTGCATCTTTGCATTTACTTCTATGTTTAATTTCAGTGCTTCAACCGGTATATTGTCAGGTCACGTTGCTTTTCCGCTATTGATTTGTGTGGTGGCCATCTTGGGGTTTGTAGGTGCTGCTTCGATATGCAGTGGATTCAATGGAGCTGACGTATTCAAGGGCTCCTTGAAGTGTTTCACTTATCTGTTCCTCTATCCTTGAATCTCAGTTTTTCAATCATGTCTACAGAGGTCTGTAGTGAAATTGTGAAATACATTTTCAGTTACTTAAATATTTACAAGTAGCCTCAATAACAAAGGATGCAAATAAATGGCGCGGACGAATTTTAATGATATGGGAACTATCGACTCACTCCACCATGTTGGAACACTCTCTAATTTCTGTGTACTTGCAAACGACTCACTCAGCTACTTAAAGAGTAGGTCACTGGCCAGAAAGAGGTTGTAACCTGGGAAAAGTTACATTAGCCACACTGTTATTTGACCTTTGAACTGGCTACTTAAACGAATCTTCTAAGTGACCAGGAGCCAGACCTGTGCGTTCGATTCTCGAGCTAGTACTAAAATACCTGTAGAACACGTTTTCTGAAGAACGACACCTAACTGGTGGTAAAACTCATCCTTGGTGGCATTCGGGCTGCGATCTGTCGTAGCATAGACGGGAATGACGAAAAGACATCGTTCATAATACTGATTTATCATTACTTCACTGAAACCTTCTAATCTAACAGCATATAATTGACTGTTATTGGGAATTCGATTGATTTGTAATGCCTCAGCCCTAGCGTCTTATGAGATACCAGTTACACCAAAACCAGTCGATGTCACAGTGCCCACGGGTAAAAATACGTAAAAGTTTTTCGAAGCTGCAGATGAAGAGTAAACTTGGAAGTGAGACTAAAATAAAAGAATGGAAATGTTTGTCTCGCATACTAAGTAAAGGATAGCTTTGTGTCAGCAGATGATCAAACTACCTAGACTACTCATTCTCCTCTAAGCCCTAATCGGGTTCACCTGGTTATCACTTCATAACAGGGTTGATTATACGATACTTCCACACCCTAGAAGGTCATATTGGCACTTTAAAAACATAAGGCATCATATACCAGGACTGCTGCATTGTCGAGAACACCAGTGGCATGAGACGTGTGATAGCAAATTACATATAAATACATAAAATCCAACTTGAGTTACCAAATGACGCTATTCTCTTCAGTATGGTTCTGTTTCTCCTTTCTAGGAGACGGTCATTTGGAGGAGCTAGTTGTTTGCCGAATCATTAGCGGGGAAAGAAGATGTAAGTCCTGGACACTTTTATTGCATCTATCTCGTATTGTAGATGGGAATATTAAAAGAGATCCCCTAACCGGATCATGCACGGTTCACCAAACGCAAAGCGAAAGACAATCAAGATAATTTTTCCTAGCGGAACTCATTCCAAGTGTCAAAAGTCTTTAAGAAACTGACTTCAAATTTCAGATAGATCACAGAAAACTAAGAGAGGCATCACAATAATAAATATTAAGATCACAGAGAAAGTTGTAGCGTGGTGTCGAGTTGAGCTTGACTATGAACACCGCTACAAGACTACGTGCCAATTAACCAATAAGATCCCCGTAGGCCAATATCAGAAGACAGATGATGGCTGTAGTCGAGATGTATTTGTTGGCGATCTCGTGGTATCGAAAGAATACCGAGATCGTGCCAGAGGAGTACAAGCGTGGTTACTGAGCGTAACCGAATTTGTACAAGTTCAAAGCCAACGGGAGAGTAAGTAAGTGTAATGGCTGTCATTAGCACAGTTAAACAAGCGAGCACAGTAAAACAGTCACTGGTACAATTGGTCATAATAATAATTGTTTTCATTGAACCAATCGCGTTCTGTTGACAGAAGTAGGTCACCACAGGAGCCCCCCGCTAGAAAGGGTTTACACTTTCGATAGTTAGCGGTTTGATTAGTGGGACTGATCGGCAGAAGTGCGGTTGTATGACGGAGGAAATTGGCGGAACAGGAAGTGATCGTTGATCCTCGAATTGCCAACGAAAGTCTTTTGCGCAGAACGGTACCAGGAGAAGTGTGCTGTATTTGTTGGTCGAATTAGCATACCACACCAGAGTGGTTTGTATCCAGGATCTGATGATTGCTCTCGTAGGGATGCGAACCAGAAAACGCTGCAGACGTAGGACGAAACCACGTTGAGCCAAGAAACCGGAAGCGACCATAACGACCAAGCGTATGCCAGGCGGATTCGAGACCAGATAATTGACTGAGTGCGTTGGCTAGAGCTTGGGTGGCCAAACCAGCTTTTGCCAAAGTTGACTGAAGTCGACGTTATCAAACGGGCGATGGTCGGTGGCGTGGGCTCAGGATACAAAAAAAATCAAAAAAAAGAAAAGTGTAGCATGCATGTAGTATAGGAATAATCCTACGCCGTATCTGTTATTGACTGTGCGGTTAGTCGCGAAAGCGTACGGGTAATCGTACTCGGCGACCGGAACGTGAGACGGTGGTCTCGTTCGTACTTCGTGAGCCCGC